CCCCCCCCCGCACAAGCCAAGGGCGCAGACACACGAAGCAGGGGTAAGGAACCGAGCGCTTTGTAAAAGGATACGTCTCTGTTGTACATGGGGAAGGGGTACGCCACTTGCCAGTACACCAAGGTCTCTCCATCGCATTCCTTTTCATAGAGTTCTAAGGGAGAACAGAAGACGTTAATGCATCTGGAAACTTCTTTGGCTTCGAGTAACAAAATGCCTAGGTGGCTTCGTAGTGTAGATGGACCACTAACTCCTAAGATGTAGAATTAAAAAAAAAAAAAAAAAAAAACGAGGAGATTCATTCCCACTGAAAGCTTGCTGCCCAGGGACAGTCTAGAGGGTAAAAAAAAAAAATCAGTGACCCAGAAAGAGACCCACACACCTCATCCATCCTACAGCACCAACGACCTTCTGGCAGAGGGAACGATGGAACAGAATCAGGTATTCAGAAAGAAAATGGGATCGGTTTTCAGATCGGGGTAACCACCAGATGTCACTAGAGCACCAAGATTTTCACCTTTGAGTCTTTTCTTCCTCTTTAAGCTAGCTTGACAACAGCTTGGCTGGGACTGAGGGGTCACCCAATGCAGCATGCGCAGGTGGGACATGAAAGTTCCACAGTGTCACCCTAAACAGCCAGAAAGTGGCCGAACAGTGTTTATTCTAGGTTTCCTGCTTCTCCCCCATATTTCTTTACACTCTGCTGCAGCAACCTAATTCTCTCCTCCTGCTACTGTGGGAGGGAGAAAGCACAGAGCAGATGGCACACGCCCCTCCACCCAGGCTGTGCAGGGGGTTCTAGCTCCCCACCTAGAGAAAGAGCCCCTGAGGCTGAGGAAGAGCCCAAGACAGCCCTGGAGGAGACGCTGAGCGGGCAGGGTGAGCTGGTGAAAGGAACCTATTAGAAGCACACCCTGGATTCTGGGGCTTGCCAGCTCACTAATGTCGCAGGAAGTCGCAGGGGATCCTGGAAGGAAGGGAGGTGTGTTGTTTTTGCACACTCAGCCTTGGTCCTCTTTCTCAAACCAGCATCTCCATCTCCACCATCTTCTGGGGTTTCAATCACCTGTCCCTACTCCTCTACTGTGGGTTTTAAGCAGGATTTATTCTGTAGTAGCTTCAGGGCTGGGAACATGGATAAGAGGTAGCCCCAGGGTGTACCTAGCCAGGGTCTTAGTTCCGGCAGGTTCAGTAACTTGACACTGGAGCAAGTTTAGGCCCTAAGGGGTTCAGTAAGACTTTCAGGTGCTCATACAATATCCAGGAGGACCAGAGTGGCATTTAGGACCCCAGGATTATTCAATCAAGGCCAACTGCTCCTTCTACTGGACCCACCACTATAGCACAGGCTGTGGATGCTAGGTGGGTAGCAGGTGTCAGAGGCTCTTAGGTGTCAGGTGTCTTGGCTGTCACTGAAAAGGCATAGTTTTTTCCTGCTGCCTGCTTCCTCACTTGGTTCCTTTCCATACTAAATCAACAAGTATGTCTCGTTGGCAGAGTCTGTATCACATGGCTGCATCGTGGCTGCTGGGAGGCGGGACCCCTAGGGCAGAGTGTCAACGTGCTGACTAGGATAGGGGGATCACAATGCCCCTTAAATAGGAAGGCAGTCTGAAAACACTAAGTTTTCATTTTACGATGAATGTCCACAGGACGTGAGCAGGTGCTTCACGCTCAGCTGCTGATGGCCAGTGCTGGCACTGTGGCTTCTGTCCTAAGAAAGTGGAATTCTCTCTCCTCTGGGGTTATTACACCACAAGGATGTAATAACCTACCTCTGGAAGACATTTTTACCATGACCAGAGAATCTACCTGAGAACTAGGATCAACACACAGGCAAACATGACCTAGAGAGGGAGAAGGAAACATTCTGATAAAATGACTGAAGTTCTCCAAAGCAGCTGTCCTCGAAGCTACAAAGCCTGGAGCTTTTTAACACCATAAACCAAAAAATTCCTCTCTCTTTTTTTATACTGTCTGTACTTGGCCTTTTTGTTACTTGCCACCAGGAATCCTGGCTGGAGACTTCATGCTCTTGGCTAGCTCTGTAGGCCTATTCCACTACGACCAAGACAGCAAAGGCCACTCCTGGCTCTGAGTGGCAGGTGGATCCCATGGTTAATGCTTTTCATAACTCTGCATCTCAACAGGGCAAAAATCTCAGCAATGTGGCCCTGTAGTCCTGCTAGGCCCTTGGGGATCTGGACCCTCTACTGGCCCAGGGTGCTGGGAGCCATCCTGTACTCAGCAGTAGTAGTAGAGTCTGGGCAGGGTCTGCTGTTCTAATGAACCCAGCACACCAGGTGCTAGTGGCTTCTGAACATGCTGCTTCATGCTATTCTAACCTGACATGTGCTCTTCCTGGACCTAGAATGCCCCACACCTCTCCACCCCTTGCTCTCTGACCTCCTCAGCTGTATATATTCTCACCTGTGTAGAAATCTTCTATTCAACTTCTATAACAAAACCAGGACCCCATGCCCTCCAAGGCGCCTCTCTGGGCCACTTAGATACATGGGACAGTTACACAACCTAACAGGCAGAGCAAAGCAGCCCAGGGAGTCAACCACAGAGTGAACCCCAAACTCTGTCAGGAGCAAGGGCAAGGGATAGAAAGGGCAGCTTTCAGGCCCGCATTTAAAAGACTTTTGTGCCAAAATTTAAAAGGAAGCAAAACACAGTAGAAATCAAACCTGTTCGTTTCTACAAGCTAGAAAAAAAAATGAGAATAGATTCTACGTTCTAATAACTTAAAGTAGGCATCACTCACCGCTAACATACTGGTCCCACTGTTTTCTGTAGCCTAAGTCCATATAGACTTCTTTGAGTAGAGCTGGGGAGCAATCCTTCAGAACACCAAAGATTTTATACTTATAAAGCCAAGTACTCTGTAAAAACAGAACAGGTAGAAACAAGCTATTGGTACCAATATTGAGAAAATGCTGGATTCCATCGGTGGATGGGCTTCATGCCACATCAGGCACCAACCTCCTCTGGGGTCTTGGTGACATATGATGAGCACTATCAGTGGGAATCGGTGTCATTGCTAGCCAGGACATTTAAGTAGGATATACAAAGGCTATGTGGTAAGTGGGGCCATGGTGGGATGTCTGTTGTCAGGTGGCCGAGCAAGGCCTTGTGAGGGGTTATATAAACAGGACATCTTGCTCTCAGTGCTAAGAGAAGTAGCTGGCCATGGGGGAAGGGGCCCATTCCTGGTGGGAGGAAGGCCTTCAAATTGATGGGTTGGCAGGCTTACAGAGCTTAGGGTCTGAAGAACTCTAGAAAAAGAGTGATGGAAGCTAAGGTTAGAAAAGTTGTGAGGGAATCGCAGCTTCTTGGAGGTTTGAGGCAACAGGATTGCAAGTTCAAGGCCAACCTCAGCAATTTAAGGAGGCCCTCAGCAACTCAGCAAGATCCTGTCTCAAAATGAAAAACAAAATGGGCTGGGGATATGGTCCAGTGGTGGAGAACCCATGGGTTCAATCCCCAGTACCAGGAAAAAGGAAAAGAAGAAAGAAAAAGAGGAGGAAATGAGGAGAGGGGAAAGGAAAGGAGGGGAGAGGAGGGGAGGGGAGGGATAGGAGGAGAGGGGATGGAGAAGGAGAGGGAAGAGGAGAGGGAGGGGAGTAGAGGAGAGGGGAGAAGAGTGGAGGGGAGTTATGGGGTGTACTCCAAAGGACTTCGTAAGGGGTGTAGAAAATGAATGGTTACCTTTAGACAGGGGAATGACCAGATCTAATTAGAAATACAGGTTAGAAATGACCATATCTAATTACTGTTCTAAATTCTTGCTAATTAAGAGAAAATAGAACATAAAAGAACAATGAGATTGCTTTAAAGACCAGTAAATACGCTCCAGGTAAGAGATGAGGGCAATTTGAACTGGGAGGTAATAGCAGTGATGGAGCGAGCCATCGGGGACTTGGGGATGTATTTTGGAGGTTGCTGACAGATTGACTGTGGGAGAAGGGAAACAAGCAATGATCAACTGAGACCCTCTGCTCCATTTTCCAAGGTGGAGAAAATCTGGAGACAGATGATCTGTGGGTTTATGGAGACAGTTGAATTGTACCTCAGGCAGATTGATTTGACGCTTATCAGATGTCATGTCATGCAGACACCTAGAGTTCCAGGCAGGGGCCATATGGATAAGTACCATGGGGCACAATAAAACCTAGCACATTTTTTAAGCCATTAATGGACTATTTATTTATTTATTTATTTATATGTGGTGCTGAGGATTGAACCCAGGGCATCACACATGCCAGACAAGTGCTCTACCACTGAGCCACAACCCCAGTCCCAAACCTAGCACATTTTCAAAATCAATCCCAAGACATAATTTTTCAACAACTGCTTCTTTTTGATTGTATATAAAGGACTGAAAAGGGGAAGAAACATCTGCTTCAAATCTTACTCGTTCCTTTTGTTAAAAAAAAAAAAAAGACCATTTCTAAGGCTGGGGATATAGCTTAATTGGTAGGGTGCTTGCCTCTCATGTATAAGGCCCTAGGTTTGATCCCCAGCACCACAAAAAAAATCTAAATTCCAAGTAAAACATAAGTGTTCCCTAATTTTCACTTTAAGTCGCATCTTCCTCTGCGAGGGTTCTGGGCTCGAGTTGACACATTTCACTCTGAACAACAGCAGCTTACAATTCTTGACCTTCATCTTACCGTAAGGCTTACTTGTTAATAGTTCAGAAATGGTTCAGATTAATTTCAACACAATCACAGGCAAAGAAATGAGTAAAAATGAAGCTCTAAGGTAAGCTCTTATTTCCAAGTGCTAAGGACATGCTAAGGATTCGTGAATGCAGCCATCTCCTTAACACAATACCAGGGGCTTATATGAAGTCAAGGGATAAATACAGCAAATCTTCTAGAGATCCTAAAGCTTTACAGATCTCCAGCTCAGGTGGCATAACCCAGAACTAAACACCTCCCAGTTTAGAAATCTCAGATATATGTGAAAGTGCCTGGCAAGACATGCAAAGTAAAATTCAAGAAGAATCCCAAAGAACCTTACAGCTCTATGAGTATGTGGCTTTATACCAACAGTTTCCATCAAGCAAATGACAACCACAAATATCTGAAGCCCTTACATCCCACAGCGACAATGCCCTGACTCAAGGAACAGTCTGATGAAAGGCCTCAGGAGAAACATCTTCTCCCATTTGCTCCTCTCCGCAACACGCATGCACATCCACCCATCCATGCCCCCCACACACACACACATAATGGTGAGGGTAAACACCTACTCACACATAGACACCCATCAGCATGTTTTATCCAGAGGCTTTGACAAAACACAGGTCAAGAATACCAGGGTCTCAGCAGGGTGCATTGGGCACACGCCTGTAATCCCAGCAGCTCTGGAGGCTGAGGCAGGAGGATCGCGAGTTCAAAGCCAGCCTCAGTAAAATGGAGATGCTAAGCAACTCAGTGAGACCCTGTCTCTGATAAAATACAAAAAGGGGGCTGGGGATGTGGCTCAGTGGTTGAGTGACCCTGAGTTCAATTCCCCCATACAAAAAGGGAACACTGGAGTCTCATTGTCTACACCATCTGAGAGCAAAAGGGACTCTTACAGGTCAAGACACCAAACTTCGCAGGCTGACACGACTTCACTCTGATATCTGCAAGCATGGAGACAAACGTTTTCCTTCAACGGGTCCCTTCCCTTCCTGTGTGTGCTGCAGGCTCCACGACCTCAGTCCCCCCCGTGTCACCAAAGAGAACAGAAAGCCCCCGAGGAAGAGAAAAATGGAGCAAACGTGACTTCTGAGAACACAGAAGAATGAACTATTGTGACAGCTTCCTTTTAAGGCTCCCTTCGTGGCAGAACTGAGGAATGACAGAACTGCAGAGGAACAATATGCTGCGTGACACCTTTCCTGGTCCATCAATGCAACATTCTCCTCCCGGCCAGCAGCCACCACCTCCTTGGGCCCAAGCACTTTCTCGCTTATCATTTTTCCTAAATGACATCTCAACAAACATCCTCATTTTTATTTCATCTTTTGAAAAATAAAGTGAATTTTTAAATTATTATAAAATAATTCATGATAGGAAAATTTGAAGATCCTATAAAGATTTTTGGAAAGTGACACATAACCCCAGAAGCCATAAATGCCTACTGATGCTGTTGAACATACAATATTTTTTAAAGTGAATAAATACTTTTCTAAGTGACCAAATACAAATAACATGATACAGTGTTTTTTTTATTTGTAATTTGATATTATGTTGAGGCGATGGACCGTTCACACAGAAATTAATTATTCTCTAAAGATACTTCCGTTGCCATATATTTTTATGCAAATAAATGTTTCCAGAATAATCGAGCTTACAGAATATAGTTGGCTCGGGTTTCTAATTTTTCCATTAGGAAAGTTTTCTTGAGGTGAAAATATTTCAGGGTGAGTTAATATTTCCAGGGTGTTTATACTTTTTCTAACTTTTAAAAACATCTCTATCAAGAATGTCCTTTCACCAGGAGCAAAAGAGCCTCTCCTCAGGTTTGGGGACCACTGTTTGTACAAATGATCTGAGATGCAAAAGCATAAGTGTTAGCTTTATTTAGGCAAAGTCTGTGTTACTGATGTGCAAGAGTCCTCTAAAATTACAGGTATAAATCTTTTACAATATTTGTTTTAGATATTTTTCCAAGCTAATTATCATTTCAATATATGATTCCATATAACCTTACCCGAAAGACCCTGTTTTCCTGAAGCAACCTCCCCAAACCATTGTTATCTGGAGCAAAACATACTGGATACTTTTTTTAACACCCCATTTATAAGCCATTTGGTTTCTTACACTTCAAATAATAAGAGGTTTTTTGGTGGTAAAGTACTAAGAGAACTTCTATGACAATGTGCACAACTTCCCTAGTTTCTTGTGCAGGTAGTGGTAGCCATGTGACACCTTCTTCCTGTTTTAAACATGGACATGATGTTTGAAACTGCAGCGACTCTTCTGTGACCAAGAGGCAATGAACATAAGAAAGCAGAGTAGACAGACTCAAAGAATCGCTGGCATCACTGATTGGCTAAACCCAAAACAGCAACTATAGGTCTTTGAACTATTTGTGAGGTGAGCAAACAAAAACTTCTCTTTGTCTAAATTATTATTTGTCCAGTTTTTCATTATTTGCAACTTAAAGCAATCCTAATTGATACAAATGATCCTTACTGGCAATGTGGAATTTTATTTGAAGTTTGGGAATTTGAAAAACAGTGAAGGTTAAGAGATCACCCTATTCTTTTTGGTCTGCAAAACAGTTTACTTCAGAGAACCCTCTTTCCCCACATGACTTAGATCACAGATGCCCCACCTGTTGACCTATGAGAAGTCCAAAATAGACCCTCCAATTTCCCATTCTTTGCCTCATAAATGATTAGCTAAGTTACCCGTCCCTGCTGATCAATATGAACAGAATGTTTGTCAATCAAACTGGTTGCACTTTTCTCCTTTCCCCAGGTTCCTGAAGTTCGACCCATCCTAAGCTTGAGCCAGCAAGCAGCCCCTCCTGAGTAGAGGCTGGCCTCAAGGTAGAGCTTCTCCAATCCTACCTATCTCACCACCCTTCCATCCCACTGCCCCACACACCACTCTTCCCAGCCTTTACTCTTCTTTATAAGACCCATTTGCCTAATTTCAGAGGTGCTTGCAGATCTTCCCATCACAAGACTTCCTTCCACCACTCCTTGAACTCATCCTTTGGAATAAAAGTCTAAGTCCAGACTGGGTTTTATTCAACATTACTCTAGTGCAGAGTGACAGAACAGTGCTATTAAGACTTATGAATATCTACAAGGAAATATGATTATAGACACATTTATTAAAACAGTGCAGAAGCACATAAGCACTGCTAAAAGGCG